TGGGAGGGATTTGGCTTCTCCCAGTTTCACCCAGGCAGTTAGAGGAGCCTCAGAAGGAGCCAGAGCAGATACCTCTGGTAGACACTGGTACTGGGTGCTTTCAAAGATCCCACTGTGTGCTTAGCTGTATCTTCAGACATCTAAATCCTTCTAAAAGTCTCACTCTTAGTGTCTAAATCCCAGGTGCCTAACTCACTTCTAGGAAAATCTCACACCACCACTGATTCTCTGAGTCTTTTTTTTTTTTTTTTTAAATCTGGTCCTCACTCACACCTAAGGATTTGAAAATCCCACTGCTAATCTCCTGTACCCAGGCGTGTATCACTTTGAAGACTTAAAATAAATTGCTCTGTGCTTCTGGGGGGCAGCCACTACTCTGTCCCTGCTCCTGCTCGTACTGGGTCAGATTTTTGTTTCTTGCATATTAACACGTAGGTTTTGTTGGGGATATTTTTGAGGGGAGGGGGCAGGTCTGAAGCTGCTCTGCGAGACTTGAATTAGCAATTCGGAGCTGTTTTACATGTGATTCCGGGGAGGCATCGCGGGCTGCCATGAGTTGTAGGGCTGCATCGGCAGAGGTGTCGGGAGGAGCTGGCTCTGGGCTCCTCATTTACATCGCTGGGGTTCGCCCGTGGGCACAAGCCTTCCCTCAGCTCCACTGATCTCCTGGGAAGATTTGTGAGCAAATCTGCTCATCCCTCGCAGAGACCGAAGGTTCTTACCTGGCTTCTTACAAGAAATTACTTGAGTGAAGAAGGCGAGGAAAGGAAAAAAAAAATCAAATGCATGTGTTCTTTCAATTTCCTTTTTTTATTAATTTTTTTTTATTTCCTGTGGGAATTTTTATTTGTTGGGAAGTTATTTGGGAAATAAAATTTTCGTGCATGTGTTTTCTTCATTAGAGAAATTGGAGTTGGGGATAAACAAATTATTTTTTTCCTGTTTAAAAAAAAAATTAAAAAAAATAATTCAGCAAAAGAACAGGCTGGCTGCCATCTAAACATTTTTGATATAAAATCTGCCTGCAGCCCTCCTGCTTAATCAGTTTGGAGCAGAGTGTAGCCTGTAGCTTGTTAATAAGAGCAGCTTGCCTGAGCAGTTTGCACAATGGTGAGCTACAGAGAGAGGCTTGTTGCATAGCTGTGGATTTTATTTTGCAGCTCTGTTAATTAAAACATATTTTACTTTTAAGGAGTTTTTTACTGTTTTCTATGAGCTTGAGCAGAAAACTGTTCTCTTGGATAGATTAAAGGAGGGATACGAAGTTGTTTTTTTTTAGAAGGAATAACTTGGCTTTGTTTGATGGGCAAAATAAAAAATGGACAAAAAGAATGTGTAGTTTCATATTTTTATTTGTTCTCAGTCCTTGTGTACGGGCTGGTCTATAAATTAGAATATTTTGGCTGTTTTGATAATATCAGACTAAGTATTTTACATGCAAGTTGCCAGACTGAAAAGTCACAGATTCTTATTTAATTGATAAAGTAATTTTTTACTTATACAAGGGTATACTAAAATAATAAGGCCTGAAACTGTGCCACTGAAGTTAATGACAAACCCTTCATAGGTTTCATATAAACCCCATATTTTTATTATCCCAGTTCCACTGACTTTTGTTGCAAGACTGCAGCAAAATGTTAGGGCATTTCTAAGTGTTATTTTTATTATACAAAACCCCATTAAAATCAGTACTGAAGCATCCCATTAATTTAAATGGGACTTTGCATGGTTTGCCGAGTTCCAGGCCACAGATAAAGAGAAGTATGCAATTTGGAGTTAAACTGACCACAGCTTTTTATTGCAAGACATTTAATCTCGAGCGAACAGCGCGGGCTGAGGCACAAAGTCTTTGTGAACTTCATCTGGGCTGGTGCAATCGGAGCCTCCACCGTGTAGAAACTCCTGGGTTGGTCGTCTGGGACCTCTCAGGACCATACAGCATTCCCAAGCAAACCCAAGCAAAGCTCTCCCCAGGCAGCTTTGCCTTGGAAATGCTAATAGGTAAGCCAGCACACCCAGAACAAATGGAAAACTTGATGCGGGTATTTCTCTGGCTCCAAGTAGCTGCTTGCCTGGACAAAGGCAAGGCTGCAACCCGTAGCAGGAGTCTGGGGACTCCCTGCAGCACCCGCTGTAAGGCAGGATCCCACCGGGATGGAGCAATGCCGGATTGAAGCGATGCAGCTTCGGAAATCTCAGTTTGAGCTTCAGGAACTGGGAGGAATGTGCAGGGCGAGGGATGGAAAAGCATCGCCTCCGGTGTGTGGGAACACCCACCAGCCAGACACCGGCAAGGGGAGCTCAAAAACCGAAGTCAGAAGGGTGATGGGGGGTGGCATTTCATACGGGGGACCCCCCTTTGGGGACTTTGGGGGCTGAGGGACCATAAATGACACTCCCTCCTGTGCTGCCCCAGCGTGACACACACCCGGGCACCCCCAAGGGCATATCCCCAAGGAAGATGTGCTTGGGCAAGGCAGTCCCAAGTAGTGCCTCCAACACACCAAACCCCCAAACAATTCGAACTCTAACCATTGTGGGGGAGACCTAAAGGCTGCTGGAAGCAGGGCATCCGGAAGAGTGCACAGGAAAGGTGTAGGAGCTCCTTTCTGCTCAGTGTCTCCTTGGAATTTTCCTTTTCCTGGGCCATAAATGTGTCGAGATGCCCAAATTTCACCCAGCAGCAGCAGATCAGCTTTCCCTGGTCTATTCACAGGGCAGGGGACACGTGTGAGGGACACCAGCACAGAAGCCCAAGCAGGCTGTGTCCCTGGGCTCCAACTCTTTCCTAAGTTTCGGGAGGGGGTGGGTGGCTCAGGACTCTGAACCAACAACTGAATCTTAGGGCAGGGTTTGGCCAAACCTGAGCGTCGCTGCTCTGATTTAGGACTAACAGTGCTACCTCCAGGAACAGGAGAAAACGAACAACGAAAATCCCGGCTAAAATCCCAGCGAAGGCAGGCAGATCCCCTCTCACCTGGAAAGACTGGGGGAAAATCAGTCCTCGTGCTGCTCTGGGGACTCTCCCGTGGCTATAAGAAGGGATGGGGTAGCCGGGGAGACTCAGATCCGCTCTGCTGAGCCCTCGCGTTGGGAGCAAAGCCCCGGGACGGGCGCGGAGCCCCCCGATCCCCGGGGAATGGACCATCCGCGGCCGCGCAAACAGCGCGTTTGGGTCGGCGGAGAGCCCCGGCCGTGGCCATTCCTGCCGCCGGGTCCGGCTAATTAATTCATTCGTTATATTAATTACGGCATTTGGGGCAAAATATTAACAGGAATCGTAATAGTAAATATATAGTCATTAACGAGTAAAGAAATAGTAATTAAATAATAATGAAATCGGAGGGGTTTGTGCTTGCAAAAGCTTGGGGGGGGAGAGAAAAATAAATAGAACAACCTTTGATATTCAGGATGCCAGAGAATTTGGAGGAACGAGAGAAAAACGCACCTTAGGAAACCGGGACGAACGGCTGCGGGAGGAAGGAGCGGTGCCAGGGCTGCGACCCACCGGGGGTGCTCCAGGATAAGGGGATTAACTCTTTGGGGAGGGGAAAAGTCCCGAGCCACGGCTCGAAGCGTTGGGATTTGGTGGGAACAGCGATGCAGCGGCGAGGAGAGCCGGACTCCCAGCCCCGGCAAACAGCGGGAACAGCCTGCCATAAAATCGGAGGTGGGGAGGGTTTCCACTGCCGGGGCTGCCCATGGGGGGCAGGGAATGGGGGTCCCTCCCTGGCTGGGCGCTGGGGGGGACACGGGGAGACGGCGGAATTACCGGGGGAAGCGGGGGGGGGGCCCTCCCCAAAATGCCACCACGGGGCGAGGGACAGAAAAGCTGCTTTTCTTCTTGTTTAGTCGCTCTCTTAAACACAGCCAGAAAAGAACATTAAAGGCATTTCTAGATTTCGTTTTCGTTTAGTTTTTTTTTTTTTAAGTTTTCTTTTTTATTCCCATGCTCTTAATTTTGAAAAAAAAAAAATCACAAAACATAACTTATAAAACAATATATATACTGCATCCTTATCCACAACAGCATAATTGAAACATCCAGCGTAACGTTTACCACAGGTGTGAAATACACTGGGAAAGAAGTACCGGGTGCATTTTATGTTTCTTTGTCACCTACAGGTAATAAGTATCGACAAAAATAAGCAACAAATATGCCTGCAATTAAACTTCATATGCGTTTTGTATGCGTATTAATAAAAATCATATTTATAATTTCCACGTTTTGTATTTTTTTGTTTGTTTTTTCTTTTTTTTTGCCAACAAGCACTTGTAAAAGTATCTACATTTACATAATAACACCTTAAGATAATAACACCTTAAGATTTTTTTTTTTGATTCCTTGTTTTTCCTTCACATTTAGAAAAACAAGGAACTCTTTAAGCTTTGCTAAGAACCTTTCCAGACGCCGAGGCTCGCTGTTTCTCTAGCAGAGATGCAGTATCTGAAATCACTTCATAACAGACCATTTTTCGTCTTTTTTTTCTAGACTCTCTGAATGGGGGTTGGTTTTCGGTTTTACTTTTTAAAGAGAAAAAACACCCCCTGCACTTAAATAAAGATGAATGATAATTTCATTATCAGGATAAGACTTTGGATGGGGAGACAGATGAACAGTTTTTGCATCACTGAAGGGTTTCTGTGCTCTCTCACAGCCGGGGATACTGCAGTCTTTCGGAAAGGATGAAGAGGTAGGAACCTTGAGCTGCTTAGTATCAGGAATGACTGGATTATAGCTTCCAACTAAAGAAAAAACATCAAGAATCATGCATTTTAAAAACGGTTTATTCAACGGCCAAGGACAATGAGATCCGGCACAATGCAACTGTAGATATAAATATAACCTTATATAAGTGGTTGACCCTTGTCATTATTATTTTTAATAGTTTCATACCTAATATTTTAACCATTTTTTTCCCCCGCAGATTGCACTCTGCGATTTATATTTTTTTCCTCCCCTCTCCCCCCCCAAAACCTTTTTTTTTTTTGGTTTTTTTTTTTTTTTTTTTTTTTTCCGAGTGTGATTCTGTTTCTCAGTGGTAAACATTAACCAAACTCTTCCCGTGCGACAAGCGGCCAAGAACCGTCCCACCAGCTCTTACCACCGAGGCGTCCCCTCCTGCCGCCCTCCCCGCGGGGCAGCGGCCGCCTTACCGACTCCTGTGCAAGTTCAAGTAAACACATACAACCCGCATAATCCAGAGAAAAAAAATTGCAACTCATCCATGTACCAGATTTCGGTGTCTCTTGCAAAAGTTTTCTGGTCCGTTTACGGTTTTCGAGGGGGTTATTATTATTATTATTATTATTATTGATTTTGTACATTTTTAAAGCGCTGTTTTGTTGGTTGCATCATTAGTTTGCAATAATTATTTTTTTTTATAGGCGGTCGAAGTCCGCGGAGCTTTTGGGTCTTTTGTTTTTGGGTTTGGGGGTTATTTTGGGGGTGGCGCTTTATTTTTTTTCCTCTCTCACTTGCTTGGGGTTTGCTTTTAGTCATAACCGTGTTTAATTATTTTTTTTTTTTGTCTTTTCCGTTAAACGTCGCTTTGCTTCTGCTTTGCTTTGTCGGCGGTGCTTTCTCGGAGGTGGTTTGTGTCAAGTCCGTCAACTGTTGTACTGACAGGCGTTTAGACTAGAGCCGGGGCTTTGCAAACTGCTGTAGCCGAAACTGGAGTGCTGCTTTGATTTCAGTCTGAGGCTGGCTAAGCTGGAGTTGCAAGTGTCCCGGTAGACGCTGTAGGGCGAGCCCGGTGGCCCGTAGGGACAGGCCGGCGAGGACATGGCCGAGTTGAGCGAGGAGCCGCTGATGTTGTTGATGTTGTTGAGGCCGGAGTTGGCCATGCCCGGCACGGCCGAGTGGCCCATACTGGAGGGCATGTTCATGGAGGGGATGCTGCTGGGCGCCGAGAACATGGACTGCGAGGACAGGGGGCTCATGGAGTTGAAGAAGGTGAAGCTCTTGGTGGAGAGCGGCGCCGGGGTGAGGCTCTTGGTGGCCCAGTTGTTGTAGGGGTACCCGGCGTACATGTCGTCGTAGGGCTGCATCAGCCCGCTGAACTGCGGCACGTAGCCGTTCTTGCACAGGTCCATCTGCTGGTTCCGCTCCCGCTTTCTCCACTTGGCTCGGCGGTTCTTGAACCAGACCTGCGTGGGGAGGGGGAACCGACACGACTCGATGAGTGCGGG